TCAGAGCACGCACGCAATGTTGCTGAACAGGTGCTGCAGATACGCTGTCGCAGCAATCAGGCAACCGAAGAGCACTGCACCGCCCTCGAGGCGTGCGCGCTGGACATAACAAAGACATTGTCGGCCACCCATCTGCCGCGCGGAACAGAGCAGTACACCTGCCGCACCCATCGCTCGTCCGCCAGCCGTGCCCCCGTTTCCCTGCGCACTCCCCTCTCCAGCCCACCCCCCTCCCTTCCATCCAGTGGGCGGGGTAGCGTGTACCCACACCGCTGATGATATAGCCGTCTTTCGCAACGTGGGTCCAGGGGAGCTCGACACCGTCCCTGGGACTCATTTCCCGCCGCAGGTTGGTTTATTGACGGCCCCAAGGCCCGATGACGGCCTGCGAACATACCGAACCCGCGAAACCACTGACCATCGAAGCCGACGAACGTGGCCTGCGGACCTCGGACCTGCGGCGTACCCAGACCCCCGACGTCATGATTTTTTCATGACGTCGACCCCCAGAGGTTTCGACCCCTTCCTGGGACCGGCTTTTCATCCTGAGTCGTTTGTTGACGGTCCCGAGGCCCGGCAAGGGCCCCCAGAGGCTGAAAATTACTAAAAAACCTCCCGTCGTGATTTTTTCACTACTCGAGGGGGTCTGGGTACTTGTTTTGCTCGCGCTGCCCGGGAGGCTGGGCGAGTGTACGTGCGCTGCTCCCCACGCCAGGCCGCGGCAAAACAAATTGGCTCGCCGGATGCCGCAGCGGCCTGCGCGCTCCTCCTGCTGGCGCGCCCGTGGGCCTCTCGGTGACGCTGCCGGAGCGCGCCCCGAAGGGGAAAGGAGGAGCGCTGGGGGACAAGCCTGACTCCGGATCCGCCCTACTTTGGGGAAATTTGGGAGTAGGGCTTGGAGTTTCCGCCTTACTTTCCAGGCCCCGCTGACGCCAATTTCCGCCCTGCTTTTCTGTTGTTGTGTCCGCCCTACTTCTGTGGATGTTCGCCCCGTTTTCTGTTGGGTGCAGAAATTTCCGCCCTACTTTTTCGGCTCCTTATAGGTGGATTTCCGACGCAACTTTTAAGTTGGAAAAAAAGCCAAAGTAGGGCGGATCTGGAGTCAGGGAAGGGGAGAGGATACACGCCAGTCGGAAGAGAAGGGAAGAAACATGAAAAAGGAAGGCGTTGAAGCAGACCGGGCTACCGCGCGCCCCCCGGAGGGAAGGGCAGAAGGACACCGGTCGATCCTTGAAGTATGATGGCGTAAGCAGATTGGGATCTGGGGGTTCAAAAAAACCTGCTTCCAACGTCCGGCGTGTACGAGAGTGCAGGCTCAGTGGCGCTACTCAACGGGCCCCATCCTTTGTCCTTGCGGCGTGCCCATCAAGGATACGAGGCACAAGTCACATAGCATGCCAATGCGTCGCTCCAACTGCCGATCTCATGGCAGGGCACGAGCTGCTATGACTGCGAAATCGAATATGCAGTAGATCGAAACTGCATCGAGCTGCTGGCTTATCGCATGTGAGGCGCGATGACGGCTGGGGCTACGCACGGGGGGAGCGAGAACGATAAGTTAGTTCGCGGGCCTTCACATGACTCCTCATCCTCATCCTCCTCCTCCCCAACCTTCAGGCACAAATCCTCTTCAGACAGCGATTTGTCCCGTCGCTCTCCCCTTACTCCCCTCTTATTCTCCCGTTAGCCTCCACCTCCTCAGGCACGGGCTCGTTCACATAGTCTCCCGATCTTTACTTCCCCCTTCTGAGGCCATCTTCGACAAGGCCCGCCCCTTCCCAGGGAGTTGCGGTCCATGCAAAGGCTCGTGGGGCACGCCATGACGAAGCAGTAGGCGCCAGCGTGCGCGATCGTGACCGCACGACATCAGAACGAATGCACGACGGCCTGCAAAGGTCGGGGAGACGTAAGACCCAGGTACGGGGGACTCGGAAATCCCCGACGAGGTCGTCAAAAAAATGACGAGGCCGAGCGTGCATTTTGACGAGGCCTCCCGCTGCAGACATCCCACAAAACTCCTCCTCGTCAAAATCCGAGTCGCGGTCGTCAAAAAACGATGGCGAACCCGAGTCCTGGCAAACCCGGGTCTTACGCTCCCCCGAAAAGGAGCGGTGCACGCGGCCCATCAGAGCCGCAGGAACCCCAAGGACGTGGGGGGCACCTCGCGCGGCAGCGGAGCCGAAGACCGGGCCGCCGCCGCCGGGGCCCGCGGCTGTCCTGCCCGCGGCGGCGGCGGCGGCCGCGGCGCCCGCGGCGGCGGCGGGCCCGCACCGGCGCCCGAGGCGGATCCCCACGCGGGCCGACCCGAGGGCGCCTGCGGCTGCGGTGCCTGGGCTCCCTGCCGCTGCGGGGCCCGCGGCATCGGCTCCGGCGCCCGCCGGGCGGCTCCGCCGTGCGGCTGCTCGGGGCCCCCGCCGCCGGCGCAGCCCTGGCGGGCCGGGGGGGCGAGGCCCGCGGGGCCCGGCGGCCCCGGGTCCCGGTGCCCCGTCGGGCGTGCGCCACGGCCCTCCCAGGCGGGGCGGGCGGGGGCGGGGCCGGGGCAGGGCGCCGACGGCCGCTGGCCCCAAGGCCCGAGCGCGGGCGCCGCAGGGCCGTCCCAGCCCAGAGAGGCAGGCGCGGGGTCGAGCGCCGCGGGCGCCCCCCGGTGTGGCCCAGCGGCCCCCTGCGCCGCCGCGCGGCCATCGAAGCACTCGCGCACGGGAGCGAGGGCTGCATCCGTGGGCGGCCCCTGGCCCCACCGCCCAGACGCCAGCGCCCCGCGGCCGTCCCAGCCCGGGCGACCCGGGCTGGGAACGGGAAACGCCGACTGCCCCTGGTCCCAGGCCTCGGCCACGCGCGCTGGACGGCCGCCGCGAGCCTGGCCAGCGGGAGCGGGGGGCGCGGCCGTGGACGGTCGTTGGTCCCAGATCCCAGCCGAAGCCAGGGTGGAGCCTGCGCTGCCTCCCCTGCATGGACCGGGGGAGGTGCAGAGGCCGGCAAGCGCCACGCGGTCCCACTCCCTGGCGGCAGGTGCCGGAGCGGAGCCTGCGCCGCCTCCCCAGCTCTCGCAAGCGGAGACGTGCGGTCCGGCAGGCGCCCTGCGGACCAAGTACACATCGTCACTGCCGATCCCGGTGCTGTACTCGCTGTACGGACCCGCCACCGTGCTCTCGGCCTCGGCGGAGTCCCAAGAGCCGAGGCCCCTGGCTGTGTGGGAGGCGTCCTTGGGCTGCTCGTCTCGCGGGAAGGGAAACCGTGCCTCCTCCGCCCGCTGCACACCGCGGAGCCCCACGGGCGGGACGCCGCGCTGCATGTCGGCTGCTGCACGCGTGAGGGCGAAGTAGAGCTTCTCCTCCTGCTCGTTACCCAGGACGCAGTTCAGGTTCCTGTTGAGGAGGAAGGGGTCTTCCACGTGCAGCCGGCGCAGGTGTGCTGCCGGCAGCCGGCAGTGCTCGGGGCCGTCGGCTGTGGAGCGCCAGCCGAGGCGCGGCGCGACCACCTCGTGGCCCCACTGGAAGTCAGAGGAGAAGAATTGGAAGAAGCACATGAGCGCCTCCTCGATCGACAAGGTGCAAGTCCACTGCGTCTTCTGGACCTCGGGGGGCTTGCCATCGAAACCGGTGAAGAGGTGGGTGGACAGGCAGGGCATGTGCAAACGCGGGTGCACCTGGAGGAAGTAGATAACCATCAGGGTGAGCGCGTAAGAAGTCAGGTTCCCACTCGGAGCACCGCTGATGTCTTCGGCCTTCGCCCACAGCTTCACAAGCACGACCAGATTGCGCACCACGGGGTCCAACTCCGCATATGCCCTCAGGAGCTGGGTGTTGCGCAGCGCCTCGACATTGTGGCACGAGAGATCCACGTCCAAGACCCCGTCGAAGCGCAGCTTCAGCACGGGGACGCGCGCCCGCTTGACGTTGCCCTGGATCTCGAACCTGCTGCTGCCGCGGAGCAGGGGCAGAATCCGCTCCTCCAGGTCCCGAGCGGCAAGAGTCGCGCTGCTCTCGCTCGGGAAGTCCGCCCTATACGCTGTGATGTCCAGATCAGACCCCCGTGTCATGAGCAGATTCTTCGCGCTGCCGAATGGCGCCAGGCACCACTGCGACCCGAGGGACCGCAGCGCAGCCACGAGCTCCCTCTCGCAGCTGCGGAGACGTTGTTGCTCCTCGGCCGGGGGCATTGCGAGGTCCAAGCTCCTGAGAGGGGAGCCGGCAGTCCCAAACCCCCGACGTCATGATTGATCCTCCTCCTCCTCCTCCTTCTCCTCCTCCTCCTCCTCCTCCTGCTCCTGCTCCTGCTCCTGCTTCTCCTCCTCCTCCTCCTGCTCCTCCTCCTCCTCCTCCTCATCCTCTTCCTCCTCCTCCTCCTCCTCCTCCTCCTCCTCCTCTTCCTCCTCCTCCTCCTCCCCCTCCTCCGCCTCCTCCTCGACCTCACCATTTTCCTCATAACGTCGACCCGCAAACGGCTTTACCCATTCCCTAAGCCCGGTTACTCCTCCCGACTCGTTTTCTGACTGTCCCACGGCCCCGAGCCCGGAAAGGGCGAAAAACATTCCGAAGCGTTTTTTCACTACTTGAGGGGGTCTGGGACAATGATTATGGAGGACTGGCTCATGTGGGGGGGGCATCGGCATGGAATCGGCGGCACACTGGCGATGGAGGCCCCCGACAGCGCACCCGCGCGCCCCTCCTCGGGGCAGTGAAGGACGGGGGGTACCCGCGCCCCGTCGGAGGTCCATGGGGCGATTTGGGGCCGCTGCCCCCGCACGGCCGCAGGCTCCCGCGAACGGCCGCAGCCCCCCGCAGGTGCCACACACGTCTGGCGCCCCTCTGCCGTGTCGCCCCTTCCGCGCTGAGGGATGCACGAGTCCGCGCCAGCTGGGAAGCGTGCCCCCGATCGGATCTCGACGATTGCCCCCAGTCTCCGACGGCGGGACACATCCACGCGCGACGCTCCGCGGCATCCCCGCGGGCACGCCAGACCCAGGTCGGCGGATGGGGGCTTCGGAAGGAGAGGCCGACGAGAAACGGAGGCCCCGCACCAGGAACTCGGTGTCGGCCTCGGTCCGCGCGTGCGGGCGAGGCAAAGCTGCGCGACGGCGAGAATGATCGTGCCATGGCTAGGCCCAGGTTGAGCCAAACAGAGTCGCGCTGACCGGGGCATGCCCCGAATTGGCCCGGGGTTGTCACGTGGCTGTCCGTTGGCGTGCTGGGCGTTGTCCCGCGTCTGCCCCGTGACTTTCCGATGCCGTTGTTCTGTAATTGTTCCGTGCGTGCCCGTTGTTGTCCCGTGGTTGCCTGCGGCTGTCCAGTGATCACCCCGTCCGTAGATACACAAAAAGAAATACACATACCACAAATTTCGTGGGCACCCCGCTCATCCGTAGCTGGTTTGCTCTGGCAGCCGCAGTGTTGGGTGAGCGCCGAAGCCTGCGCCACGCCAGGTGGCGCGGACGCCGCGTCGAGAGGGTGCGTGCGCTTTGGGCGGCTTCGGTGCCGGTCGCAGCGCGACGCAACGACGGGCGAGAAACGGCGTGGGCCTGGGCGGGTCAAATCCCGAGCGCGGGGTGCACGCCCCCTGATGAACCACGAAGTGAAGCTCGTGCCTACGCAACGCCGCGGCGGGCACCGGCCGCGCGGGGACCCGCGCACGTCGCCTGCGGCGCGCCGCGACACGCGCAACCAACGCAGCGGCGTGGCGACTGCTCGCGCCCGCGTCCGCCTCGTGCCCCCGGGGCCAGTGAACGCGCGCGCTGGAACACAGGTCGAGGAACTTTTTCCACGCGCGCCAATTCCCTAAGAACCCCGCCAACTCGTTGCTGGGTTGCTCTGGCAAACGCAGCGCCAGGTGCGCGCCCAAGCCTGCGCCGCGCCACGCGGCGCGGGCGCCGCGCCGACAGGGCGCGGGCGCCTTGGGCGGCCTCGGCGCCTGTCGCAGCGCGACCCGATGAAATGACGCGACCCGCGCCAGGCGCAGCCCAATCGTTGCGCGCGCGGTGCGCGGCGCTCGGGCGCGCGATGAACGGTCGCTGCTGCTCGATGTGGCAGAGCTGTTGCGAGAGCAATCCGAGCTGCTGGGCGCGGCGGCCCCCGCTCGCTCGCTCGCGACCCGACCGCGCGGGGCGCCAGATGCCCAGCACTCTCGCCCCCTCAGCACTGCAATCGGTGCGCTCGC